AAAGCTGAAGTGAAACAAGTGGCTTCCCAGGGAAAAAAGGGTCATACGCCAAGATTTCAGTCAAGTCTTTTGCCCTTCTGTTAAAATAAAATAGAAATCGAAGTTGAAAATGTCTGAAACAAGCAATTCTGAGTTCACATTGACTGATTAGTGGTCTCTTATTGATTTGTACTTGATGTAGCATGTTAATTAACTTGTATGTATGCTTCTTGGTTAGTCAATAATATTAACAGTTTGTTTTTTCTCTGTCAAACTGCTTTTTAGATGTTTTATCCTGGTTCGCCTTGCCCTTGATTCCAAGAGAAGCATTTGCCTGTGATCACCAGGTGTAGCAAACCTACCTCTACCTACTAGACCTTCTCCTCAAGCATCCTCAGTCAGGGATGGTAAGAGAAGAGAAGAGCGGCCATCATTTAAATTCCACCATCCTCCCTAGCTCAGCCTTTGACATTATCACCATGAGGTTTCTGCCTGATCTGTGGATAGACAGCTGCTAATTTGCATGGTAAGTATATATTTTAAACTCAAAGCTCTTTTAAAAACATCCACACTATGTAATATTATTAAATGAAGTCATCTGTAAGTCAGTTTTTGTTTTCTGCGCTTATGATTCCATGCTGTGGATGAAACTTCATACTGTTGACTAATTGCTTACAGTATGCTGTTGACACTAACCATACTGAAGAAGTTCTTTAATGGTTTCTGGTGAGTGTGTTGATATGCAGAGCTCTTTACAAGTAAAAAAAAATACACACAGTGGAAATAACATAATCATGGAATGCATATTTGCTTGCTAGACAACTTTTTCAGCAATTTCTGACTTCGGACCCACAGATTACAGCATGGGCATTAGGGCTGAACGATTCAGAGAAAATATCTAGTTGCGATTTTTTTGACTAATATTGCGACTGCATTTTAAATTGTGATTTTTTGTATAAATTAAGGTTCTGGCCTGTGCCAAGAATACTAGAATATCTGCTTTTTTCTGGCTTGAGGCATGAACCCTGAATGTAGTCTCTCATGTAATGGCACTTTATTAATCCATTTTTTTTTTACTTTGATTTTTATTTTTAATGAAACTTCTCTTTTAAAATCTGTTATTTTAATAATGTTTTTATCATGTTTCTAATTTCTGTTCTCCTATAATTTGTTAATTTTTAAATTATAATATGAATTATCTTTGTATTTTATCATTTATAAAGCACTTTGAATGACCACAGTATATGAAAGCCGCTATATAAATAAACTTGCCTTGCCTTGCCTAGTATGCCAGACTACCACTAAGTTGTGGTTGTGATGTCACAACACACTGAGGTTTAATTGCCTCTGATTGATCCAACTTATATACAGGCAGTTCACAAGCACTGTGTTATTATGTTAAATTACCTCAATTAAAACATAAGACAATGTTTTTGATAATGTAGGCTACAGTTTTGCAATACAATTGCAGCTCTTGCGATTTGAAAATTGCACTCACTTAAATTTAAATCACTTAAATATTTAAACTTTCAGACCTAATAGACATGCTGTTTTAGAGATGTAAGAAGTTTCTTTCATGGAAAGGAGTAACTTTCACTGCTCCCATTTTTTTCTGATAAAACTAATCCATCTAATCCAGTCCCATGTTTGCTTTGATATCCTATGAAGTAGGCCTAATAATTTGACTTGCCAAAAGCAAAGGTAACAGTGCATTATCACTAGTGGTCTTCAACACATGTGAATGTAGGTTTTCCATATGTAGCACAGCTGTGTAGCTGATTAATTCAGTTTTGCTGGTCGAACATTTTTAATGTATCCTATTGTGTTTTATTTTAACACCACCACAGTCGCTTCACAGCCCCTAGTTTGAGAGCCGCTGCTTTAGCATTGTGAAGTATTTAGGTTTCTTGGTGCCCTCATGTGTTCATCTAACTGAACATGTTTTCTTGCAGTAAGTTTAATATGGCTTTCTAGATCTAGTTCTGTGATGCGATTTCGTGCTATTCCAAAATCACAATTTATCTGATGATTTCCGTTACTTAAAATTTTAATAGGTTAATTAGTGAACCTTCTGCAGTTTGAGGGCTAACCACCGTAACCTGAATCAGTATGCTTAAATTTGGAGATTCAGATCACCATTTCCTTAATCAAAGCATCAGATGTAAAAAAAATGGCTTCTAGTGGTTTATTAGCTAAAAGACTGTTTTGCATGTTTTTTTTGTCAGTTCCATTAATGCTGTAATATACTCTAATATGCTCTGCAGCCCAATCACTATGCAGTAATTACAGTGCAGTGAAACTACATAATAACATTATTACTGTTTTTTTAATGTAACCCTCGAAATAATGTTTTTTACTTAAACTTCAAAACCAGTTTTCTGATTAAAAATCATAGTATCCATTGTTATCATCTGTCCCTTAATTTCACTTTATATTAATAACGTTACTAATGCATTTCAGAGATTTCTCTTTTTTTTTCACTGAAAGAAAACATTTTTCGAATTTGAAGGTCAAAGACTGCCAAAAACATAGTATATCCAAAATTCATGTTTTAAAAAGTATATTAAGAAGTCAGGTCATGTTCACCTTCTTAATAAAAGAAAGACTGTGCTGAAGTGTGTTGAGAAACAAAAAGTTCTGCTTCTGCAGCCAGTCCGCTATGAGAAACGTGAAGCATGTCATGCCAAAGCAACTTCAGAGGCTTAAAAGTAAATACATACTCATCATCCTGATTGGGGCTGTAAGGTAATCTGAAAAGTGCAGTTTAGGTCTGCAGGAACAATTCACACTTTAAATAGTACTTTTATCTGCATTTATATGAAGGTTTCAAATTGCCTCTTAGACCACAGAAAAAGTGGCAGTATTTCAAAACCTGTTAGCTGATTCTATTTTCTTCTGACAATGGCTGCATGCCTATAGTTTAAAGAGACACTCTGGCTAAAATAAAAAAAGGAGCCATCACTGCGTTTTTTGTAAACAAGGCTACTTGCATTTTACAGTGGTGGTTGGGCAGGGATCTTCAGAGCAAGATTTCAGGAAAACACCCTTCTGATGATGTATCTTGAAGGTGCAGGGAACATTGTCTTCAGTAGTCACTAACCACTTTTTGCAGAGTTATTTCTTTTCTGGGAAAACTGTAACAAACAGCATCTTTGCATCCTTAGCAGAAACTCTTATTCAGAGGGCTAAGAAATAGGGATGTACCGATATGGGAATTTGGGGCTGATGCTTCTGTCCAATATTTTTCATGTACACATCTGCTGACACCAGCACAGATACATAAACGTGTAAAATATCTAGAACCATATCCACCTGGATTAGCGTTACAGAGAAATGCAACCTTTATTTGTATTATGTTACTAAGGAAGCAAAATGAATATAATACAGACTTTTTAGCCCGGTGTCACCTAAACATTCTGTTCCTCCAAAATGCAATTAATATGCTATCAAATATCAGTTAGAAATATATGAGAAACTTAAACATTGGACAGGAAGCCAAATCCCAGTCACCTTGAATAAGAGTGTTACTTATCCAGTACGCTAGACAATTGCTCTGGCTTTAGCATTCGTGTCCTCATATTTCCTACATCCAGGTATACTGCACGCTACAGGCGTTGTTAAGTTGAATTGTCTTTGAAATGAAAAGGCTGTCTTGTTTGATGACTGAGTGAAGCGTTATACTAATAATGGCATGGCTGCACTATAACTCAGTGCAGAGCACTTATGAACGAAAACAAGAAACTGATATAAAACTGTGAATTCTGTTGAACTGCTTGGCCACAAAATACATAAGACCTAACTCTAGCTTTAAGCCAGAATGCGTCTTTATTATGTTCCATAGTAATAACACATTAATATACAGTGCTGTGCAAAACTGAGTGACCACCTTTCAGTCTTTTCATCTCCAGTGTAAGTAGCTATGAAGTTATTCACTGGTGAGGAGATAATTCTAAGGATATTATATGTAAGATAATTAAAAAAAAAGAGAATGTATTGTTTGAGCTTTTTTGTTGAATATATGTTTTCTGCCTTTTTCTGATACTGAAAAATAATGAATAACGTGTAATTAATAGTTGTTTTAACTAGGGATGGATACTGACATTGGTATCGGTCTGATGCCGTGCTCAGATTTTCGTACTTAACCGATACCAACATCTGATACCAGCTGATACCATGTGACGTAAGCCGAGTGTACACAGCTGCACTAATGAACAAACGACTCGAGCTGTCCATGAAGGATGGTCGGCATTTAAACACAAGGTCACTAGTCACTTTAAACATTCTGCCTTGGTATATTCGTGCCAAGAATACACTGTGTGATTTCAGCCTGTTTTTAAACACACACACAGTCACAATCACTTCTCCAATATGGGTGGAGGCACATAGGCTAGCAAAACGAGTTTGCTAGCCTATGTCACTTTGTTTGACTGAATAGAATTGTGAGGTATGCGTGTTAATATACAGAGACTATACATGCTACAGAGACTGTCGTTGAAAGAAGAGAGACGAGGATCAAAAATATAAAACATACTTTACTACAGAAGTGCTTTTCTGACATCAAGCTAATGCACTTCATTTAAAATCAGCTAGATTGAATTATTTAATTTTAAGGTACATTGCACTCATTTACACTAACATCTACTTAATTCTAACCGTGTTTGGTATGGTAATCGGTGTCAATGCATCCTTAGTTTTAACTGAAAATTAAATAAATGAAGGCTGTTTACTGACCTTTGCACAGTACGGTGTATGGATATATACAATTGGAACTTTATTTGTTGGAATAATCTGATCAAAACTAGAAAAGAATTGATGAAATATGCTTTTGATAAATCATTCTGTAGGAGAATATCATTTCATTAGGCTCTTGTAAATGTTGGTGTGGATCTTGTCCATTTCCCGTGCCTTGTTTGCATATATTGTGAAATACAGCGTTTTAAAGCGAAATTCTTCTTAACCAGGGCACTGCAATAATGTCCTTAAATCTGCATATATATATTTTTTTGTGGATGGTGGACCGACCCTCGACGAATCGACCCTCATTGATGAGTTTTCTGTGAAGTGCCAAGACTGTCACAAAACTTCCACTCAATTTACGCAGTGAGCTTATGTTAATGCAAGCAGATATGTGCGTACATGACAGACCGCGTTGCTGTGAGGATGAGTCATTCTACTTGTTTACTTGTTAGTATACATTCAAAGTATGCTTGTACAGTAGGTCATCACAGAGGCATTCGTTAAATTGTTTGGCCATGACAATTTAATATACATAACAAAAAATTTAATCTTTTTTTGAAAATTTTGTTTTGCAAGATATAGAACCCCTGTATCCAAATCAGAATCTGAACTGACAATGGAAAGGTACAATTGTGCAGTCATGTGGACGTCCGTACCTGAGTTCTACCACACGTACACACTGTCAGACATGCACGTAGGCATCCACATATTTGCATTTGTTACACTTTGTGTCTAAAAGTCAAACAGTATCCTGCTACCGTTCCCCATGTGCCTGGAAAACACAATTATTTACATAATGATATAATCAGCAACGCATTTGCATACTATTCCTCATATTTCATAGGTTTGCTGTGGTAAATGATCACATAGCCTAAATGTTTAATATTTTGTTGGTTGACAGAGTTTCCACCTCTCTTTCTCTCTGTAGCTCAGACCAGGTGTTCCCCAAGCTTCCTAACAGCAGGAAATGATCATGAGTGTTGATGCTAGTGTGATATCCACCCTCTGCTGAAACACTGAAACAGTTGTTCATTGATAAGAATAGATCTGAGATGGGCTTTTCTGGTTTATGTTTGATGCAAGGTGTGACATGAGATGTCTAACAGCAGAAGGGTGCGTCCAGTGTGCAGCCAGCCGTGGCTGTACTGTGCATCACTTGATTCCCTGGAATGTGTATGGTAATGTGCACAAGAGCACAATAGGCTTCCACTGGGACAGTTGGGGGAACAGGGTGAGAGGCGGGACAAGTCCTGCAACACAAACATACAGTAACAGACAGTAATAAGGAACAGTATTTTTGATACTTTGAACAATAATCAGATAAACTCACTAAAGCTAATAAACTTACAGAATAAGACACGACAGAAATATAACATAAAACTAGTAATGCTGCAGCTTTTTTTAAACATATTTTATGGCTTTACTGGAAATTATGAACATGCATCATCTAGAAGATGAAGATTATTCAAATTCTTTGTTTCATCAAGCATGTAGTTGGTATTTTATTATTTCGAAATATGTTAGTAATTTCATTGCTTGTTATGTATTGTGTTGATGGGAATGTGTTATATGAATTAGGCACACAGGAAAGCTCAAAATAGCATTTGCAAAAACAAAAAAAGCATGTAATTGGTTTCAACATCACTCCAAAAGTGTTTTCTTGTCATCTCGTGGTTGCTGTGTTAAACTTTGCTCGCTGTTTCCGGGACATTTTCAAGATACATCATACATATCATGATATTTTAACACATAGACAACTTAAAAACAGCTGTCAAAGATGTATTAAACATTTCACTGCACTAAATCCAGTTAAACAGGACTAATTATACTCAATTCAGTAAGCTGTATTGGCATGACCGTGTTCAGTTACAGTTTTGCCAAAAAGAGAGAAAGACACCGTTGGTCAGTGTTCTTTAAATATGGACGATGTCTACAATATGCTCTGAATAAAGGCTATCATTACCTCAAGAGACCGGTTCTTCCTTCCAATATGTCTCTCTAATGTTCACGTTCTCAGTAACAGCCTGGACTAACATTAACTCTGTTCATGACATGAACTCTAAATAAGATTGTAAGTGACGACACAGCAGCAGATGAGCGATTACTGAAAGAAGCATGACTCAGGCAGGTGAGGCTTCCATAAGCGTGTTTTACACTGTTTGTGTATTTGTAACATATCGGTGAAACCAATAGGTCATAGGTATCAGTATCCACATGGCTGATACCAGTACTGTGTTTAAGTGCCAGTATTGGTGCCAATGCTGATATAGGTATCTGTGCAATCCTAATGATAATGATGTAATATCATCCTATTGCCCACCTCTAATGTAAAAACAGCTTTAGTTTGCACCACTGCTTCTCCTAATGCTGAGCTGTTTCCCATAGCTGAGCTGTTTCCCACAGGCTACCAGATGTACAACAGACATAAGTTTATCTTAAAATTTCCTTTAAAAACTGCAGTTGTAATGAACAAATAAATAAAGTTGTGGGGAATGATAATTACATTTGTATTGATGTTTGCCATATCACTTTTTTGAAGTTTAAAAATATGAGATTAATGAATAAATAATGCATTGGGACTTCTAAGAACTATATTGTAGGTGCTGTTGAGAGCAAATGAGTGAACTTTATGCACTTTTAATCACAGAGCCAGCAGCAGCCTAGAGGTATAGTAGTCAGTATTTGGGCACATATGCATGTGTGAGAGAGTCTGTGACTGTAGATTTATCAGTCAACATTAAAGAGTTCACTGCCACTGTAAATGCTGTAAAAGAGTAGGACTCTTGTTAATTAGCCTTTACCCACTGTGGTGTGCTGGTAGTCGGTATAGTAACTAATGTTAGCCAGTTAAAAGCAAGGAAACAATTGTATGTTTTGTTTTAATATTAAAAAAAATGTTTTAGCTATAATGAAGTTAGCTTGCTGGTTGTCATCATCAGAAAAAGAATAATTGTATTAATTGTATTAAGAAATACAATGCAATATATTAAACATTTCACACACTATTCTACACTAAATCCAATTAAACAGGGCTAATTATGCTCCCTTTGTAATTGAATGTACAATTAGAAAGTGTTGCTCACTTGATGTGCTCAGAAAAGCATGTTGTGACATAATTTATCATAGTAATGGTAATCATATTGCCCGCTCGTACCACAGGAGTTGGGTAGGAACTAAGGTAGAGGCACATTAGTCTAGCCTTGGCATAGACTAGAAAAGCACCATAAACATTCTCATCTGGAACTACCTGTGCTTTATTGACGCTTTCCTAAATACACTGAGAGCTTCTGTTTTGCATATTTCCTGCTCTAGTTTGTGAGTGAAACACATATGAACAAAGGAGGTCATGACTGTTTTGCATTAATATCCATGTTTTCCACTACCTGGCAACTCCTAACTGGTGTCGGCCATGTTTTGCATAACTTGTTTATGTGCTACCAAAAGTCTTTGTATACTCCGGTGTTGACTTTACTGAACGCTAACTGCTTCTCTTGGATTACCATGAAGAATATTTATAGTGTAGAAGGTAGCATGATGAATTTACAGGTAAGACAAAATTTTACCCTACTGTCCTTTTATGAATTTATTTACAGTTGTATGGAAAGGTTTAAACAGCCCTGGTCAATAGCATCTTTCGTTGTTTTTCTAAGCGAAGCTAAGTTAACATATCCTCGATAGGGTACTTAAATCTGGCATTCTCCTGCAAAATTTAGTTCACAGTTGATCACTTTTCATTTATTTTTATTTGCTGCGTTTAACATATAACAAAAAAATTTAAATTTACTATAACTGTTCCACAGGCAACATGTAATGTTTTTCCCCCCCCCCAATATATTTCAACAAATAAACTAATTTTATACTAAAAATGTGCAGAAGTTTGTTCTCTGTAGAGGATGCGTTAACGTATTTTATCAAATCAACAAAACAAATTTTGAGCAGTGGCATCCAAATTTATGCATACTACTGTATGAAGAAAATCAGTGTAAGATGCTTTATTGATAAAATTTGTGCTGAGGACTGTAGTTTTTACTAGAGAGATGGTTTGTCATCCCTGACTATGCATAAAACTGTCTTATTTTGATCTAAAAGTCATCATTGCACTTGCCCATTTACTAAAAGTGATGGCCTTTAGCACATATTTGCAATTGCATGTTCATATGGAGACTCTCACTTATTATTTGTAATAAATAAATGAATTCCTACTCCAAAGGCAATGACAGTCCAGGCAAAGTAATTTAAAATCTTTTTTTTGTTTCATATCTTTAAGATCTTCCCACAGTCTGTTATAGATGCATAATGTTTTTTTCATATGCTTTTAAGAACTAAGCAAGAATTAGAAAGTTGGAAGGTTTTTAGACACCTTCTACAATTAAACAATCAAATAACAGAGTCACAGCAGACTAGCAGCCAAATTGGATGTATTGTTGAATTTAATTAAATGACATTAGTAATATTTTTATTACGACAAGTTAGATTACTGGAATTAGAACTGAGTGATCCATGTTGCTAAATGAAAAACATCCTAACCTTACTGATGTGATCAGTGAGTTAATATGATGCCTCCCCAAAGCATTCGCCTTGGTGTCTTTAATAAGTCTGTATCTGTATATATATTTGTGTATAGGTCATGGAAGCTGTGGCTGATGTGAAGAGGCACAAACCTTCCTTCTCTCTTCCTAGTTTCTAGTGTAATGTGCAGAATCTTGTATTTCATAGTTATTACACATAAAAACCTACATGCTTGCATATTCACAATCAGACATAATATACTCATGCAGATACATACTTGCAAAAATATATAGAGTTTAATTTTAAATTTACTTTGTTTTTGTATATTGTGCATTATGTCTTACCTGTTTTTACTATTATTGTACTATTACCATCTCTAGGATGCATTTACATTTGTAGTTTGGTTCTCTTTCTCCAGACCAAAGCAAAAAAAGTTACAGAAAAACACCAAGTGCAACAGAGTTTGTTTGAAAGCGGAACGAAACCAATCTCCTCATGGGATCTCGGTCTGCTCAGTTGGTGTGCTCCTTGGTTTGATGACAAATTTCTCCCTTCTTCTAATGAACTGCACTAAAGGAGCTTTTGCATCTGCCTTGTTTGGTGCAAATTTGCAAACTTTTTCTTTATTTCGTTCCATTTTGATAGATGAGATCCACTCGTACTCGAGTCCGCACCACCGAACTGAATCACGGTCTGCCAAAAATCGGTCTGCCTCCAAACTGTGGCTTAGTTTGCTGCTGGGAACACATTTTTATTATGGTCTGCACTAAGTAAGGGACACCATAGCGTGCTTTTCTCAGTGCACATAATCTGTCTGATCTGACTTTCTTGGAGCACCGAACTGCTACAGTTAATGTCAAATGAGCAATAGCAAAACCTTTGATTTGATTACATGAAGTGCAGAAAATATTTTTGATAGATTGGGCCAGACATCTGCAAACTGATTGGTTGAATTCAAAATGACGCATAATTCAGCCAATTGTAAAGAAGTAGACATTAAGTAAAGTTAATTATTACTCCACTTGTGATACGTGTAGACTTTAATATCTTTATTTTCATGCGACATAAAGAATGAATGTATGAATAAGAATAAATGTATGACAATACATTTTATCAAGAATTTAAATGAAGGATAGATCTGGATTTTACATTATGATAGTCTAGTGAAAGTTTAAAAAAATAAAGGTTTTCAGTGGAGGCAAGTGGAATGCTTGTATCCTTGTCAAATTTCTGACCAAGCAAAGAATTCAAACAATGCTCACCTGTATAATTTAGTGCACATCGACTATTGCAGTACCTGAACCAAATGAAAAAGACAAAATGTCACAAAAACCTAAACTTGCCAAATGTGAATATTAAATAGGTGAACTCCAACAATACTGGACCGTATTTCGTTGCTCTTTGGATTTGGATTGGCCTCCCATTCCCTCTATAAACACAAAACACGCCCACAAAATTGACAGTGCCCAGCGTCAAGCTAATTTAGAGTTTGCCAGCATTTACCAGCATTGTCATGACTTCGCTTTCTGATGATGAGGTAGGCTGTTTAGTACAGATATTACTTTTCTTTGTTATTTAGATATAGATGATTAAGGTATGGCATTATGCTTACGTTGCTTGAGAGGAGATCAGAGGACTTGATATGTTGGATATGTCAATAAAGCACATTGAGTGTGGTCCTTTTTATAGCCATTTTACAGTGAATACCATGGGTCTGCCAGCTTGTGTCAGGATGGTTTGCTTGCTTTTAGGAACTTGGCAAAAAGATAGAAGCATCAAGAGAGGGTTACAATAATGTTCTCCCCCCAGCAAAGCTTTAATTTACTGTACTTGGTAAATTATAATGACATAACATTACATTTAATTTATTCAAAGACATTTTAGTCTAATTATGCTGTCCAAGTACACTCTAAAAACTTCCTTGTATTGCAACCGCACTTTGTATTGCAGCGTCTTCTTTTGTCTGGGTGGACTGTAAAGGTACGAGCTTACAAACATTTGACATTCAGTTCATACCAATTTGCTGCTTGGGAGTACTCAAGAGTGTCCTGTTCTTTGTAACGTTGTGCTACAGCATTTACAGTGGAACAGAAAGTGCTAATAAGACGCGAACGTCAGCCTCGTCTTGTTAGCTTTGTCACCTGCATGGGAGTTTGATGCAGTTGGCTAGTATTACATGCATCTCTGTGAAGGTGGTTCATCTAAAGCATTACTTTACCCTGCTTCCTGAGTGCTAAAGTTTTATCTACTTGATTCTTTATGTAAAGACAGCCATTCATACAGCTTGACTCTATATGTATTGTGTTCACTTAGCTGTCCAGGAGGAATGTTGCTACATTCTGTGTCCAACTATTTGGAAATAATCCCATCTTTAAAAAACACTTCCAGTGTTTATTATTGTTTTAGCATGTTTCTTTTCATTACGTTTTTTGGCATCACAGCATGTTTTTTTCTCCCCATGGTACTACAGTGCAGGTTGCTAACCAGATTCTGCCAGGCTTTCTTAACCGAACAGACAGAGGTGGGGGCGGAGTAATGTGGTATTGGAGAGTGTCTTGTAAAATGACTGGCAGGAGGTCAGTGTAAACACAGACAAGCCCTCCACTCCGTCCTACAGCTCAACAAACAGGGTTTGTCAAGCATGTAGTACGCTTGTGCCGATGCCATTTTTAAAATGTTTTTTTTTTCTTTATCCTGTTCTACATATTTCCCAGGTTATATGTACTAATAATAAAATAAATAAATTGACTAATGCACCTTTTAGTGCCTAACCCAATACCAGTGCTGCACATTAACACTCCTGTATAGTGGGTGGAGTATTCTGCATACACAACATCTGTTGCATTTTCATATATTATTTGTCATGCCTCTGTCAGACAAATGAACAAATAAATATGCCATTTATGTACAGGTTAATTGATAGAAGACCTTTTCATGAATTGTGGTTAAGATTAACAACTAAAGTACATATCACTTGCTAAATGTTCAAGGTTTAGGAATGAAACGTCCTGTTTTTTTGTAAAGTCCCACACCAGGTGTTTAAAGGCTGTATGATTCAGCAGAGCCAGACTTCACATAGAGCTGATAAACCTGCAGACATCCTCAAATTTGTGCTCAGAAACGTACTTGTATATGCAGGTGAACTGTAACCCTAAGTGGGTTAGTGGATATTTTTTTTTTTTAATGTTATGATATTGACGTCATTCACAAATTATTGTTACTGCGCGGATGTTCCATTTGCATGGCTGTCTCGCTGCTTTCCTGGACATAGTTATTTGCCTGTGCAAGCTTATCAATACTGTTATTACCCATTAGGCAAAGCACACCTGTAATTTAAAAAAAACATCCTAATTAGACTCTGCCTACCTTTGTGTTTGCTAAGCCTCAGTTCAACTAGGTTTTAGTAGTCAATCAAACTGTGTATCCAGTCTGCATACCCTATTTATAATCAGGAGCTGTAAATGTATACAGTATCATTTCATTTGATGCATGTCTTCCAGTAGAAAAGCAAATGATTTTTGACCGCTGTGACGATTAAACCTGTATATTGTTGTATGAAGAGTGTTTAAAATTGAACAAATGAGAGTACGGGATGAAGACTAATTGTCCATCTTTAGATGATGATGATGATGATGATGATGATGATTATTATTATTATTATTATTATTATTATTATTTATATATTTTCTGTGTTGCTACAGCTGGGATAGGCTCCAGCTACCCCGTGACCTAGAAGGATAAGCAGTTTAGATTGTGTGTGTGTGTGTGTGTGTGTATGTGTGTGTGTGTGTATTGCTACAGCCAGTACTTAAAGAGCCCATATCCTACATTTTTCTTGTGTTTTATATTTTCCCTGTTGTTCACTTATAACATTTGTTTTGGTTCATGTACCAGAAACAGCCATAATTAATTTTTTTTACTTGACCATTTTCCAACCTCTCTTAATCCTTTAGAATTAAAAGGCTGTTTTTGTTACTGTGCCTTTAAGACTGATGCATGTCAAAAATCTCTGTTCTGGGTGGCTGTCTTGTATTGTGCCTCATTTAAAAAATGGTTCTTTGTGAAACACTCCTTTCATAGGCTGAATAAGTAAAATGAGTTCAAAACCTATTCAAAACGGGCTGTTTTTGCAGCTTAGTTTCCATACATGAACTCTGTGGACTGGAAAGGAACTGTACATTTTAAATTTGAACAGTGTTCACATTCTACATCTGATAGAGGCTCTTTAAAACTAAAATGAATCTCAGCTATTCATCACTTATGTCTAACTCTAGATTCACCTGGTTTTGTTTAGCCTCAGAGTGTGAGTGGAGTTGAAATGAGGAAACGGCAGCAGGCGCATATTGAAGGACCTCCGCAGGCCCCTGGTCATCCAAGGCCGAACACCTGCTGTCTCTGCTGGTGCGGTTGCTGCAAATGCCTCTGGTAGGTCATGTCCTCTTCTGTATGTGTGAAAAAGGCAGAACTGTAAATTGCATATAAGCTTTTGGTAACATTTATATTAGTATCTTTTTGTGGTTGGATCTAATAGGTTTTAGTGTTTTAGGCATAATGTACGTAAATACTGCAAACAGTGTGAGCTTAATGCTGATAAGATGCTAATTAGATAATTGTAAATTAAAAGCTGCACAGTGACATCAGCATTTCAGTTGGTGAGCTAACACTTTTGAAAACTCAAGATTGTCTTTTTAAGGCTGTGCTCTGTGTGAAAATGATTTTATGCAGTACATGTTTAACCATCTAGACCCCACAGTGGCCCCTGCCCGGCACTCTACATTTCACTATAACGCCCACGAACGGTCGTAACTACAGTGACCTTTATTGTGTTTTTAAATCAAAATATGGTTTTTTTTTTGTGGACAAAAAACTGTTATACACATTTATAGATCCCTTTTTACAGTGAACGTCCCAAAGATACATTGTCCGTATACAGAGACAGATGAGACTTACTAGAATTTTGCTTACCGTGATAGAAGCGATGATGCAGAAGTTCAAGATGTAAATCTTTTCAAATCTTTGTTTAGCTGTGTGTTTTCGTAGTCAGTTTAGCTACTTTACAAAATGTACAGCCAAGTTCAGATTTCATTGCTAACTTAGGGCGATTTCACACATAAAGTCCGGGCCAAGGTCCGTTTTTGTTACATTTGATCCAGGTAGTTTTGGTTTCACATTTCAATTTAGCGAGCGCAATAAAAAGCTTTGCATGACACGCCTACATCCTGTCATCATCACCTACGTGGGCTGCGTCTCCCTATAATTAACATTTATTGGTTTGTAGAGGGATGTGCGTGAGACATCAGCGTGTTTTCAGTTCACTGGGTAGCCTTTTCTGTGTGAATGGAGAATAATGAATATCCTTCCCCCTCATACTCTCAGAAACGGCATTTTTTCATGTTTTTACGCGTTTTTTTCAAGTTGACTTTTGACTTTTTTGTCGGACCAAATTACAGTTTAATATATCATCTCCTCCTCTCCTCATGTGCTACTGCAGCTCATTTTTACATCTCTCCTGGTTCTTTTTCTTCTTCTGCTGTTTATTAGGTAACAATAGCCTGCCTTAACTTCCTGTAATTGGTCTGAAAGTTTGAAACATCTAAAAAACCACAGTTCAGTTAGGTCTGGGGCACTTTTCACACCACTATTTTGGTTCGGACCAAACTGAAAAATCTGAAGGTTCAGACCAAACAGGATAACTGTAAAAGCATCCTTAGTGGTCCAAGTTCAAGATTTATCACAAAAGAAATAACTGCTGGGTGAACATAAAACTATTTCAGCATTAGTGATTTAAAAAGTTATTTTATTGTTTTATACTAATGTATGTAGATAAACACCAGTTCATATTTTATAGAAATCAGCCAGCCTGCTGTCTCTGTTTGACTCCGTATTTCAGCTCTGTTGTACAACAAGAATGACTGAGGACACCCTCAGCTTCTTCACCTGATTGTCGTTCAAAAATCAAAACTACAGCCAAACAAATGAATATGTATTATTTCTGTTTTTCGTTGTTTAAATTTGCCATTTTAATAGTTAACTTATTTTGCTTCAGTCTTTCAGAGAAAAGGAATGTATTGCAGAATCATAGGGAGTTTGGCTGCATTCAGCCTTTAGCTAATGTTACTGAGGTTTGAGGTATGATTTTTCTATAGCCTAATATCACATTCATCATGACGAAATGATCTTGAACATCATTGTTGTAGTTAATTCCATGTCCCTATTCATTATTTCTAAGAATTGTTGTTTTTGTTGATGTGTATTCAATATTACAGTGACATGAACTATAGGGAAAAGCTCTAATCACGCTCAGTCCTGGGCTGTTTTGATTTCTGTCTCTTGGTTTCATGTACATATTAAAGAGGTGGCACTCACATTACAGATTAAATCAACTCCTAGTTGCCATTTTACTGCTGGTTTTATGATTTTTTTTTTTTGTTAAACAGTGATAAATAAGCCTTTACCTTTAAAAACTGTCAGGTTTTCACAAGAGTGTTCTGATGGGTTAAAATCTAGAAAACAGAAATGGTAAGATGTAGGTTCATATTCATAAAGCTTCCCAGAGTATGTGAGCTTGTCTAGGATCAGATTCCCCTCTTATTTTCTATTGCCTTATTAACAGGAACAGATCCTACATCAGCACTCCTACTTGAGAAGCTTCATGAATATGGACCCTGATTGGTTCTGGACACTGACAGGCAATATTTACAATTACCTTATTAACATGAACAGATCCTAGATCAGCACACCTACTCGAGAAGCTTATAATAACTGGCCCTGATTGGTTCTGGACACTTACAGGCAATATGCTTACTCCCCTAACCTGAAGTAATTTCCAGGAAAACTAAAAGTGAAGATCCAATGTACAGTCAAAGCAAAGTATACTATATAAGCCTTGCTCTTTGAACATGGGGGTAAGGCTGGGCACACACCGGCTCAAAATACCAGTGTTTTAAACTGCATTTGCACTATTAAGACCTAATCTGAGCATTTGGAAAAGAAAAGCCTTCTTGCTTTAGTGAACCATATGCTTACAGTGGACATAGCAAGACAAACACTTATTTAAAAACAGTTATTTTTTACTTGTAGAGCAGCTAGCATGTTTGATGATTTACTGGTACTTGAACTGAATTTAAACAATTTGTTCTTACTTGAGATTTTCTCATGTCCTATATCTGAAGTTACTAAGAATTTAGAAACTTAGTTATTTCCTGGCTCTTCACCCAAAGGTCTTTTTCATGCAATGAATGTATTTTTGTAAGAGACATTTTATGTGCACTTTCATTTGGAAACTGATAAAAGACACTCATTTGCATTGTTCCGAAACTGAAGCACATTTTCCGTCTTTGCTACACACAAGAACTTCTGTCTTGCTCATTAACGTGGTAAAGCAAACAGCACAGGGCCGAGTACAAATCCTTACAGAATCCTGTTTACACCTTGTAAACCTGGGATGTTGCCACATGCAGCAACCCACTGGATTCTGTCCAAGCAAAAATTTATCACCCTCATTTCATGGCCAGACGCTTTGCGCTCCACCTGTCCACCTGGATTGAGACATACTCCATGAACTGCATCTTTTGGCATAGCCAAAGCACTGTAGATAAATGCAGTTCTCGATCAAAGCCTTGAATATAGAAAGGATAAACAACTAAACCTAATTATTTTGACAAAGAGGTCTCGTCCTTGAATTTGTTACTTATTGTTATTTACTTATGTAAATAAATAAGTTACATTAGCTTATCCCTCGTAAGTGTAAGCTGCTAAGAGCCCTTCTGCACTTTGATCAAAGCAAGATTGGAGAGGGCACAGTGGAACTGTAGAGCCTGTGGAGGCACTATTAATAACACTCGAATGAACACAAATGTTACAAGAAAGAAAGAAAACATTGAGAAGGAGGGACAGACCTATGTTTGTAAAGTCTGGTTTCCACGATCGTTGACCATTACACTCTGGATATATCTACTCTGTAACCCGCTATTTCCATCCACACATCACATGCAAGACAGCTGTGTGGAACACTTTATATATTTAGAGTCCTCATGGCATGTGTAGACCCTGTGGCTAGTAAGCTCATTTATACTTGCACAATAGAGACTTTGAGAATGGAATGGATGTTCACTCGTATATGGGCCCAGAATAAAGTCACGGCTATGGAAAAGTCATGAATGGCTTTGACAATTATCAGATCAGTTTTAGAGTGAGCAAATTTGTTTAGTTTGGTTTGTGATTTTTACTAACATAATTCAGGCTACATATTTGTGATTTTAGAGTTTCTTCCTTTTTTGGAGGACTGTAGAGCTATAATGTAGCGGTTAAAAAATAGTTAGTTTGGAATTGCCTCACAGGAAGAACCTCTTTAAGCTACTTAAAGGCGCAGCATTGCTTCTTTCGTTCTTGTGGCCGTTAGCAAAATTTCCAGAGTCGGGTTTCTTTTCCACAGTTTCTTTTGACAGTGAAATAAATCCTTTCAAATGGCTGCTCGTAGAAGTGTCTGAACGATTTCAGGGGTAAATATTACAGTATTTTTCCTGTTAAAATTATGTTAGTGGAAGAAAGTCTGATTACCTATGGGTAAGGCATCACCGGTTCTGTATGCCGGTTTTGGTGAACTTGCTCATGTTTCAGATGCCAGATAGGCTTTTTATGCTTATGAGCTAAATAATCATAAAGATGTGATGAGGCTGAATTTGCCTGCCTGTTCTTGATTAGTAAAATATGATGCATCCTGATCTTCTTTTTTCATAGTTTCATGTTGTTCAGTCTTTACTGCAGGAATTTAGTGTCTCATAAAAATGTTTCATTTACTTGGAGTTATTAATTATCTCATGATTGTTTAAATCTGTTTCTTACTGGGATATGATAGACTGGTGTGCTCCTCATAACTCACTGCTTGTGCTCCCCCCTCCCCATTCCCTCATCTCCTCTAGGAATGAAGAGAGAAGGGAGCGTCCAGAGCGGCAAACATGTACAAAAATGGACAGCATAGAAGTGACAGAGGAACAGTGAGTAATCAGTAACTTCACTATAACTGTTCCAGCTCTTCCACAGAAAGTTATGTTTATCAGCTTTATCATTCCTCTTATAGACTTTCAGCTACAGCTGTTTTTCATCAAAATAGTTTTGTAGAAACTCTAGCAACATCTGGAAGTTCATGATTATCATAAACAAAGTTTAAATCAGTAAACTGTTTCTTCAATAACCAAACATTTTTTCTTACTTTATTTGTATATTTATCCAGGCTTTTCCAAAATCATTTTAAAGCCACATTAATCGTTGAAGCTAAATTGCTCTTGTTCTCCTTTTGCTTCTCTTATGGGTTGAAGGCATCCCACACTGGATGAAGTTGTAGCCTGGGCACGAAGCTTTGAGCTAATGATGCGCTCCTCAGACGGCAGGGACGTTTTCAGGGAGTTCTTGCGGTCGGAGTACAGTGAAGAGAACCTGATGTTCTGGATAGCCTGCGAGGAGCTAAAGAAGGAGACCAACCCCTCAGCTATAGATGAAAAAGCTAGAATCATTTATGAGGATTATGTATCTATCCTGTCACCGAAAGAGGTAAGATGTTAAAACGTCAACCTAAAATTCATTTTATTTTGTCATTGCGTCTTGCTTCAAACTTCTGATGATGGACATATCTGTAAAGAATGAAATGACCATGTGTATAGAGAGCAGATTTTAGAGGGAATATAATAAAATTACATTACTTTTCGTTATTGGTATGTGGAAAATGCAGCAAACCTTCTTTACGTTGTTCAAACACTGCTTGAGTTTTAAAAAGTGCTGAATTTATCACAGGTGAATGTAATCCAACTTGAAAAGCAATCCACACAGCTGCATGGTATTTCACAAGTATGTCACTGCATTTTTCATATGACCCCATAGTCCTATGTCATTACATTTCTGCGAAATGCAGGACCTGCGCTACACTAAAATGTAATCAATGTCCAAGTAGGGCTATAACAATCACACTGCAACACCACTGTGGTAGTGTCCCTGCTGTGTTCTTAAGCATGTGACCGGCATAACCATAATTTTTTTTTTCCCCACACAAAAGTACAGCTGATTAAAGTTCGTTATAGTAACTGCGTTGCTTCTGCACTACACCACTAGTGCTGGCAAAGCACTCCTGCAAAGAGACCTTTTTTATATCGGCTGTGCATTACAAGCACTGTTACAGTGGTCATGCACGCACAAAACCCAGTTTAATGCCTGGTTCATGCCTTCTGCATTGAGTACCACAGTGATAATGAGGGAAGTGGCACACAGTTGCCACTCTCAAAGCTTTGAGTCTACTTTTTGCTGCTTGTCATGAGCTACATGCCACTAGAAATGTGCAAAATACCGCTGCTTTGAGTTTGTTACTCATGATAGCTGTAAAACCGAAAGAACTGCTCAGACGTTTTTGTTGACATGCCTCGTCACTTCCTTTAAAGAACAAACTTGCTTTAGTCCAATTTATGCTGCTTGTTAGGTTTTACATTCAGTGACACAGGCATTAGGCACAACATTGTAGCAGAAGGCTGACCAAAGTTAGTCAGCTTAATCCACTCTTCCACCTCCAGAGTGTGTAAGTGGTACAGAGTGGGAACTGTGTGGTTAGATTTTGCTGTTATGTTTTCTTTTACTCCAAGATTGCTTTGATGCAGCCATCATACGATGCATACGATACCTCTGTAGTTTCAAGATCGCTCTGTCATACGAGACCTGTTTCATGTTAACTGTCTCTATGCGTCATAAGTGACATAGCAGTGTGTCTGCTACAGCTTGCACAGGCTGGCCATTCGTACAGTGTCTACTCTGCGGAATATTACAGCGAACCTGTAGTATAAATTCTCACTGCTTGGAACTTCTGCAGACGTTGGATACATTAAATCTTGTGATCCATTTAGCTGCACAAATGGTAAAGTAGATTTTGGTTAAAAGACAGTTTTCTCACTTGTGATTGGACGATTGTCTCAAGCCTAAGTACCTACCTGAAAACGTGTGAGCGTGACATGAAGAATATTTTTTTAAATTATTATTAAATAACAGCCATTAGGTTATATAATTCACAAATTGAAGTGTTAAGTTCTTGTCCAGACATTCAAGATATATAAGATAAATATATCACATTAAGACTTAAGAATACGGAGCGGACGTGGAGCAGGAAATAAAAACAACTGTGTTTTTTTCCTCCTGTATGAGCTGGGAATGAGCAAGGAGCGGGAAATAGAAAACCCAGAGTAGAGCGGAAAGCGGAGCAATTACAGAACGCTTCGAGAGAGGAGCGGAAATTTCTGCCACTCCACTCGCCTACTCCGATCCACACACAGTCATTTACTAAACTCAGGACCGTGATTTTAAAAGCCATTATATGCCACTACTGGGAAAGAAGCTATAACAGCCTCTGAATGTTGCCTCGGAGCGCACTGTCCGGTTGGAACTACTGCAAGATCTACCACTGGTCCATAAGATGCTGGAAAGGACACTGGAGTCCATGGTCCCTGCTGCTGAGACCAGTACTTTTCATTAACAATCAAATAAGTAGTAACATATAATTTGTGATCATTCAAGTCTTAAATTTATCAGGCCTCTGTATAATCCTCTGATCCCTCAGTTACTGACTGTGTCTTTGTGCTAAATAAATATTAAACATGTACAGCTAAACAGCTCCTTGAATGTTGAAGAAGTGCATTACATTCATAATGCCTAAGCGTTTCTTCTAGTTTCAAAGAGTCATTAGTAATTTGACGGAAGTCTTAAATGTTACTTTAAAAATAATTCTTATTTGCTCATGGTGACTGGCTTGGAGAGTTGAGGTGGGCAATATGATGATATTTTATCATCATTGTGATAAATTATGTCACAGTACGCTTTTCTGAGCATTTTGTGGATATTGTCAGTATTAAAAAACACGAACTACGTTTCATTACAAAGTTAGTATTAGACTTGTTTAATTGGGTTTAGTGCAGTACAGTTTGTAAAACACTGAATAAAAGTCACTGTAGTTACAGGTATTATTATTATACTATTTTTTATATGTGGACTACAGATTCTGTTTTGTCTGTTACAACTTATTAAATCTTAGAAAAAATAAATATTGTAATGCATATCGTGTATCGCGAAAATGTCTTGAGCTATTATGCTGTAATATTTTTGCCCCATTGCTCAACTCGAATGGAGAGTCTGATATTGTCGAGACAGAAGCTGGCACATAGAAAGCAGTTGTCACCTGGCACATGGCTTTGTTTTGGTAATATTATGATTTGAGCCAAGAGTTTATGGCCTACTAGTGTTTGTTTCTAGATATTATTTAACTTTCATCCTGTGAAGCTCACTGCACAGCACCTGTTGCTAATCTAGTGTAATGTGCCAGTCTAATGTTCCGTACAGTGTTATTGTATTCGTGAGGTTATTAGGCTATTAGGTCAAAAAGCAGGAGTTAGTTTTAATTAGAAGGTACATCTGGTTAAACAGCTTCCACTCAGCTATTCTAACACACAAATATGTGAGTGAGGAAGCACTCAGCTTCCTCACATTGGATGTTGTTGTTCATTTGGTCATTTCCCTTTTTGTAAATGCTGGATTTTTCTACTCTTTCATACTTTTCATCTCTTTCTTACAACTTAATATCTTCAGTTCAGCTCTAGGAAACGGGAAGGCTTTGCAAAATTGTACCTGGAGAGAATTCTTAGACAATCTCAGGCAACCTTTAGCTAAATGGGTATGACATAGTGTTAGCTTTAATCATAAAGTGCATCTAGTAAATAGTAAGCATCTAGTAAGCTGTAGTCCCATTTTTATGCATGGTCCCCTCATCAGTTCAGGGAACGAAGTGTAACTAGATCAATCAACATAACATCTAAAAATAAATTGTCATGCAGAAATCATATTGCTGATTGCTTATTTTTCCTTGAGTCTTCAGTGAGGTTCAGTTAAGGTGATTGACCTGGCTGAGGAGGACTTATCTTCTAGACAAGGTCTTTAATGAAACATTGCAAAGAATTACAGCCCCACCCTCCAGATGATCAGGATAGTATAGGAGGCATCCTCAGCGACACCTTTCCACCATTTCTTAGTCTAATAATTCTGACTAATTTACTGCCACTGTTCTCACTGCATGTTTGTTCTGAAAAGTTCTGTAGAAGTTTTCCTTTGTTTGCCAGGGTAAGGGACTTTTAGAGACGACTGTGATTGGCTAAGAGGCGTCATTTATAATTTTGATTCATCTGACTGTTTACAAAATTTGGCCATGCTCTGCCTTCCTTTATTATTTTTGAGTCTGTTCTCCCACATAGTTTAATCAAAACCTTTTTCAAGAGTGCAGTCAAAACAACACCACCCTCCAGATGTTCAGGATAGCATGTGCATGGATTCTCATTAACACCTCTTGACCATTTCTTAGACTAATACTTCTGACCAATTTACTGCCACCACCATTCTCACTACAGGTTTGTTCTGAGGAGTTTAGTCAGTTTTTCCTTCATTTGACAGAGGAAGTAGCACTTAGAGATGATTGATTGGCTGAGAGGTGTGTCAATCATTATTTTGCACACAGTCAGTTGTTAAAAAAAACAGTCTGTGCTTTAACTTTGTTTGTGTTTGATTTTAAATAAAATTAACCAAAACACAGAGCCAGATCCAATTACTTACAGACTGCACTATGTAACAGTGTTCTTGAATGAAGAGTTAATGTATAGATTAAAGTTAGAGATTAAATAGATAAAAACTCTCAAGGGAAACTCACTCTGGTCCTCATGCTGATTTTTGTATTGTCTCTTGCAGGTCAGTTTGGATGCCCGGGTGAGGGAAGGTATCAACCAGAGCCTGGCAGAGCCTAGCAATCTGATGTACGAGGAGGCGCAGCTGCAGATTTACACCCTCATGCACAGAGACTCCTTCCCCCGATTCCTCAACTCGTCAGTTTACAGGGACCTCCTGGAAAGAAAGAGAGCCTGCTTAGACACCTAAAGGTTCCAGCCAAAAAAAAAAAAAACACTTGAGACAAAAAGCCCTAAGGTGCCGCTATTGAGAGGTGTGATGTTTCCTTTTCATAGAGCGAGTAGTTAAGCAATTCTGATCGTCCAGTAGTGACCCTGAAGTTCACTTCCTGTTTAAGTGCCAATATAAGCTGCTCAGGCAACTGTGACAAAGAGAAAACCGTAAGGAAAACCGTCCAGAGCCCTACTTTCCTGTTCTTTACTTCTGTTTTTCTCATTCACTCCTTCTGTCTCTGCTTTCTCTCTCTCTCTCTCTTGTTCACTCTTTCTCTGTCTCTCACTCTCTCTGATGGCACCTGTCCTTTTCTCACACTTCTATGCCTCATGTGTTTGAGGACAGCTGAATAATGACGTTTTTTTATGATTGGATAAGAGTTTCCGTTACGTGAGATAACATCTGACTTTGCATGAAACAAGGTTATGGAATTTATTCTAGCTTGACATTTAAACCCTGGCAGGACTACAATGGCTTTTGAGTAAGATATGTATTTTTATGCTGTCGTAGCAAGAGAGCCTTTAAAGCTCTTGTAAGCTAAGGGAAATTTAGGTTTGCCAAATGTTCTCCTTCTGTCCTTTGAACTATTAGGCTGTCATCTGTCCACTCTTGTCCGTCTTGATGACTCTTTCACTGGGAAATGTAAGGGCTAGTATTGTGGTTGGGCAGCTGCTAAATGAATCACGAACATTTACTTTCCTCTGCAAAAATCATAATGCCTCGATATTGAATAAGGGCACAGAAGCTGCTGATGCTGACCAACAACCACAGTTAATTGTGCGAGTCCTCCTAGGCCCTCCCAGTCCACTCCTCGCTGAGAGAAGCACAGGGTACTGTATGTCATTGGTTGTAAGCATTGCTGGATTAAGAGTTTTGCTTAAAAAAATAAATCAACAACATCTCAGAGGTACTTGAGAGAACTAGAACTGTCATTTACATTGAAATGCCTTTTTTCTTAAATTAAGTCTTAAACAAAGGTTGTGAACACTGCCTTGTTTTTAAAGGCAACACTGTATTTGAAATAACGAAATAGTGTCTTTTTTCAGGCACTGCACAATGACACATTTTCCCAGAAGTGATGTTGAAAAACAGACACTTCTTCGGGTTTTAGTATAAAGTTTTTTTTCTTTTTTTGTGAACTGATATGTGCTGATGGTGTACGTAGGTTTCATGGTTAGACTTGTCAGTATGAAGCTCATGGAGCTTTTTGAACTTTTCCTAACATAAGGAAGATTTTCCAGATGAAAGCAGGCAACTGTCTGTTTTGTGACAATGGTGTTTTTGAAAAGGCCACCAGAAGCCATGCAGTTCACGTCCTGTTAGCATGCGTTTATGTGTTTGTGTGTTGAACACATCACAATATACAATCTGAATAAGACATGGAACCGCAATGGATGAAACAGCGTCGTTTATTGAAGCAGTTTCAGTATGTTTAGACTTGTGTCCCTGAAAATGAAAACATTTTCAGCTCATTTTTATTAGATTCAAAGAAGAATCTTTTGCTGTTGACTTGATGACAATTTGTTTGCTGTTACAGCGGCCAGTGCATGACAAACCAATATGTAAATGACTGCTTGGTATAACCACTTTCTCGTCTCTTAGTTCAATAACTCTAAAGTAAATGACATTGATTTGTCATTATCTGATGACCACTCTCCAGCAAGAATTTCAAGATGCCATTTCTTGAAATGTTTTGCTAATGAATGAGCCTATTTTGAGAAGTGGTCAGGTTCTTTCACTGTTGAATTTTCTTTTTGGTGCTTGGAAAATTGCTTAAAGTGCCATTCTATACATGTACAATACTCAATGAAGACCTTTGTCACTCCACTGGCATTGCACAAATGCCATTTTTAAAAGAATCACAGGTTTAGCATTAGTAGATTTACACATCAGCATCAGCCAATACGAAGACAGAAGACTATATTACCCTTCATTCCAAAATACAAGTTGCATGTGTTTCCTGGATTTGAATACAATAGGAGAGGTTTTGTTTTCCATTCATTGTTCTAAAAAGGGTGAACAATGGGTGGTTGGCTGACCCTAAAAAAAAGTCTAAATTCTGTATGACAAGGGAACTGTACACATTTAAATTAAACTTTACTAATATAAATCTGGTCATGTTATTTTATTAAAAATAAAAAATACGCAGCTGGAGTTAAAGAGGGCATATAGTTCATTTGTAGGGATTGGCAGCAGTGTTAACCTGTCTTAGGTTAGCACAAGTGCTTTGTTTCTGGTTTAGCATGCCTAGATATCAGTGATAGTAGTGAGTCAAAAATGGTCCAAGCCCATATTCAACATGCCATTGTACCTCCCCTTCTCTTTAAGCAGACATGGTGTGGGTTTAAAGCATGCAGGCTCTTTTAACGGTCAGTTTTACTTACGTTTTGCTTAAAAATGAAACGTCTTCTGAATGGTCAAAATGGGGAAGTCTTGGTGCAAACTACGTTTACATTCAAATGGTGAGCCAAGCGATTTGTGAATGGCATGATGAACCTGTAGGACACCAATGTAAAGATGGTTTGTTTAATATTTCAGATTTGTCCAAATGTTAAAAGGGGTGCACTGCAAATATTTGCTCTGTTTGTGTTTTTGTGTTCAGGCCTAATAAGCCTGACAAATTAATCCATGACATTTTTTTTGCACTGCAGGTCAGTGGTTTATCTGTTGATGTTGCTCTGCTTCTATTTAGTCCAATATACGCTAATTACATCAGTTTTTCCTTCTTTTACAGTTGCTGAAAAGACTTGGTTAAACTGTCAGCTCAACATACAAGTCCATGGTCACAGTATGTAATGTTACGGTTGTCTTGTAATGTCATGGATTAATTCACACATTTAATTTCTCTGTTTTGGTATGATTTTATTCTGCCATGAGAGATGAAGAAGTTTTAGCTTGAAGGCTGTCTCAGGCAACAGCCATCGCTTTTGACTGAAAGTTGCACAGCATTGCATTGTTTAGAATACTTATTTTTTTCTTTTCAAAAGGTTCCTCATTTCAAAATACAAAACAAAGGAACGTTGTTCTTACAGGCGTGTCTCTGGAGAATTTCATTGGTTTTCTTCTACCTCTCATGTTTTTTTTGTTTTTTTTTCGCCTCTAGTTGTCACTGTTAAATTTATTTTGATCTACTTGAAGCCTAACACTGTAAATGAGATGTGCACAGGTATACTGAGGTTTGACAAAGAGTAGCTATTATTTGTTGAATTTTCTCAGCATAATTAGATAAAGATTCAGGAAACACACTGTTTAAGGGCTAATCTCATTTTGCCTATGCAAATATGTTAAGTGTCAGATTGGCAGAGTCGATGGTCGAGGGATGTTTTTCATGGTATTGGATGGAACATGGTTTACATTTCCCTTTGCTGATATTCTTCAGTCTAGGTCAGAAAATATGTTTTGTTTTATTTCTATATACATATAACAAATATATGATAAATAGTATGCCTTCTTGATAAAAAAAAACACTCAATTAACACTTAAATAAATTTGTGTTGCGTCAACTGTGGTTGTTTTTGGCATCTTGTTAGGTTGGCATTTCATTTGTAAATTGCACACACTGAGTGTACACGTGTTTTCTGCATAGAGTGATCTGTTATTAGAACATGCTGGGCTGTTTATCTCAAAGGAAAACTGGATGGGGGCTGGGGGGGTCATCAGTATCATAAACCACTATGAAAACACACATCAATGAAACAAAGTGTCTATTTATGGTTTTTAATGGTGCTTCAATCTTTGTTACACAGGTTGAAGGGCTATTTTTGGGCACTTTAATCATGCTTTTTAAGAACAAGAATATCTACCTCTTTGTTCTTTTTCATTCATTCTGACCTTTTTGTAGAGGGGATTTTTGGTGGAACTCACACATTGTTTCTTTTTGGAGGGTTTTTCAAAGGTTGTATCATCTTGCTGGGTGATTTTTAGCTTCATGTCTTTCAGGAGAGCAGTCCAACTCAAATGTGCTCTCAGTAAGTCACATCTAAAACGTGTAAAAAAGTTTAAAGTACCTGAAGGTAAACCCATTTGTCTTCATTTGCCTAAACATTTAGTGGGGATAAAATGTAAAACTTTTTTTTTCACTCTTATAGGGACAACTTCTCTACTGTATTAGGTCATGGTATTGTTTCTTGTCTATTTTTCATGTTTAAACAGAAGGTCAACATTATATGTTCCAAGAGAAAGGTCTGTATAGACTAGTTCCTATCTCGGGAACCCATAACCGTCAGACCACACCTCTAAAGAAAATATTGACTCAAACTGCCACCTTTTATGGCCACACCCTTACGTGAGCCGTTGTTTTAAAGCTTGAGAGCTGCTGCGGATTTGTTCAGGCACTGAAACTGCATGAGTGCACCATTTCTAGAGCCATATTTACCGCTCAATAACAGTACATTCATTAGACATCATACCAGCAATTTAAAATTCATTAGCATTTATTTTAATTATTTAATTATTCAAGCTGTTACTGTAGTTTCTTGATTTTTTTTTTTTTAGTGACTGGCTCATGTATAACCTTCCTCTTAATTTTCTTTCATTTACAAGTAAAAAAGTTTTAGTGAATGGTATAGTTTTAGTCCAGTGTGTCGAATGGTTAACTGATGTAACACATTATACATACTAAACATTCTCCTTTATTTAATATGAAAAATATTTTGACATCTTTGTAAAGGAGCTGAGAAGGCTGATATTACAGTTGTGTTCGTTTTCCTTTTTGACGTTTTCAGAAGCATGCTTAGGTGCACAAAAAAAAGAAGGCTGCTTACCTTTGTCTTTTTACTAGGGATGGGACGATTCAGGGTGTCAAGATGTGATTATGAAATGATAATCGATGCATCTTCATTTTTGATTTTATTGGCCTACATCATG